AGTTTAGACGTACTTAAACTCCCTGTTAGCAAATAATCTTAGTTAACTTAACGACGAACCGTTTAAGCTAACAACGTTTTTTAGAAAGACAAATACCGGAACTTGGCGGCAGAAATCAAAGCGATGTTCTAAATCATAATAATCTGATATTTTGTATTGCTTTATATTATAATACAGCTTGTTTAATTTTAGCGCCTGCATCTTCATAAACATGACTAAACGAACAAAGATGGGAGATTAAAAGAAACCTTAAATAGAATGTCAACTAGGAACGTATGAGGAGTAATTAATAAAATCTTACCCCATAATTGCTAGCAATAATAGTAAATATTATCCATTTAAATAAAATTACCGTTAATCCAAAAATATGTAGCTACTAAACTAATTAAGTGGGAAAAGTGGAAAATGTATTATACAATGATTCAAGATAAACATTAAGTGTCAATGGATTTGTAATAGTTTCATTAATGAACCTTTTTTTTTTCATGTGGATTTTTAAATAAAAAAATAAAACAAACCTACATGTAACAATATTTGTTTTATAAGTTATTAGTTAAAAATAATATAAAAAGTGTTAAAAAAAAATCTTACATTTATATGCGAATCCAACAATTATAGATTATAGATGGATAAATGCTTCTGCAGATATTCACGACACAATAAATATAAAACGAAATTTCTAAAAAAAAAATCATTAAGTGAACTAGATATAATGTGATTTATTTTATATTGATGTTATCGCATTACTTGGTATTAAACGTAACAAGGTTCAGCTCTCTGAGGAGGTTCGTTAGGAAAAAGACTGGACGCCTCGCTACAGAGTAAATTTGATAGAAGTAGCAAAATGGATTCTTGGGACGCCACAAAGGCGAAAAGAGTCTATATTATACTTACAGTACCATGGTAAGGTTGAATTGATAAACCGAAAATCCATCGTGATTCCTTAAATGACAAGTGTGAAGATTTTTCAACTATTTCTTCACCAATAAAGAAAAGATCTATCGTATACTTTGCTCATCATTATATGATTTAATTAAATAAGCGATTAACGTTTTTTTCGGTACATTTTCATCATGTTTATATTATAATTGTATAAAAAATTTATGCTTTGATGATTTCACATTTTTATTTAAATCTTTTTTATAATTATTAAAGAAATTTCTAAATGCTTTGCATGTTTTTTTATAAAAGGTTCGATAAAAAAAAATTTTCAGATCTTGTATTTTATGTCATTTTCAAAATGAACAAACAAAAATATTTAAAAATCTATGTATGCCGTAATAAATAATTCTGCGTTAAAAACGAGCACTGAAAAAAAAATGTAAAATACGGGTCACTTTCAGAAATTCAAAAACAGGAACAAATAATAAGAAATTGAAAATATTTTTTTTTAGTGATTAATGTCCAGGACCTCTAGGATTTTGACCTGAACGTCTTTTTTCAATGGTTCTTGTATGATGTCCAGGACCTCTAGGACTTGGACCTGAACTTCTTTTTTCAATGGTTCTTGTATGATGTCCAGGACCTCTAGGACTTTGACCTGAACTTCTTTTTTCAATGGTTCTTGTATGATGTCCAGGACCTCTAGGACTTTGACCTGAACTTTTTTTTTCAATGGTTCTTGCAAGAGCTGCTTGGGAAATAACGACAAGTAACAAAAAGATTGCGAGAAACAAATTTAATTTCATGATGTCTTAAGGAAGAAGGAAGTGATTTATGGTATGTGATTTTGAAAGTTGTTCAAGAATGAAAGAAGATTTATTTTTTTATTTTTTTTTGATAGAACGAAGATGGAAATGCGAGAATATTTATATTGTCGAATGACCATTGAGAAATTTTCTATTGCCATAATCAGATACTTCCGATAATTTTAAAATTCAAAAACGTTCATCAAGCAAGCTAAAAATTTACTATTTTTATAAAATAGATTTAGGTCAATTAGCGGATTGGTTAAATTTCTAAGATCAAATTTGTCTAAAAACCACGGTTCGGCTGATCAGTAAGGTACGATTATGCAGATCGTTACGATCCTCCAAATTATGATCGTACCGTACTGGTCCTATAATAGAAAGCAATTATATAAAGGACAACTTTATCCAAATATATGGTCGTACCGTACTGGTCTCAATAATACGATACGATCATAATTTGGAGGGTCGTAACGATCTGCATAATCGTACCGTACTGATCAGCCGAACGAGAAATATGTAATTTAACGTAAAATGATGATTGGTGTATTACTAATGATAATAATGGACGATCATTTTTGAAGTTTAACTAGAAATTGCGAATAGCAAATTGCAGTGTGTAGCATGACATTTACAATCAAGTATTCAGATTAGGGATTTTATTGAGTTAGTAAAGTTTTTCGTATTCTATACGAACTTTATCATCCGCATTTTTCCAAGCTTCGGCAATTTCTATGTTGATTTAACTTATCGATTGATTCTTGGCACTTTAAACGATCACAAAGTTTTTTTTAAGAATTTTAATTTTGTAAATCTCAAAAAACGCTTAACGTTGACTTGTAAATTTGATTTCCATATATTGGCTTGAATTATTTTCCAGCCCGGAAAGTTTCATAATATTATTATTATGTCAATACTTTCAAAAGCGAACAAAGGAATTCCGGAATGGACGTTATTTTTGATAATTCTTTCCGGAATGCTCATACCTAATTCCAGCTTTAAAAATTACTAAATTTATTAGGATATCTGAGGAAATTATATATTTTATACTTATTAATTTTTTTTAAGAAACGGACGAAATCCAATACCAATCAAAAAATTCTAGTTGAATTGAAATATCAAAACTTTTATAAAAGAACATTTTTAATAAAAAAAATTAGAATTTGGTTATATTTTATTGAACATATTATGATTGAGTATAAGCAAATAAATCTGTTAGCTTTGCTAAAAAAAATAAATTAAATACGATCACTTGACGGGATCGATAGATTTCTTTTAAGGATAGCAACTTCTTGCAAAGGGAATGAACTTGTTCAAAGATCACGATAAGTTTCTTTCAAGGACGAATGATAGGATCAATTTATTTCTTCCAAGGGGCCACGACCTTTTGACAAGATCGAATTTCTTTGAAGGATCAAGGCCACTTAAATGGGATCAATAGATTTCTTCCAAGTGCCACAACCTTTTGACGGGATCAACCAAGGATGATAAAATGATTCTTTCTTTAAACTAAAAAACATTTATCATGAAATATTTTCTTTCGTTAATCAAAATTATTTGTTCATTTACTCACTTGATAAATATTTTGATACTCATACTCATAAAAATCACTGTTTTTTTTAGACTTCGAATTTAGGGAATTTGCATAGAAAGAAAAACTGGATAGATAAAAACTAAATTCTAAGAACGGTATTAATTTTTTTTTTTGAAATATATAACAAATATAATGGATGTTATGAATGGATAAAATCTTCAATAAATATCTTCAATAAAAAATCAATATGTATTGAATGTGATATGATAATTGTTATTTATGGAGAAATCATTAAACAAGAATGGACTTTGTATAAATTGATCAATTCATCCCGAAGTCTTATCGGGTAAAAGTAATGTATCGTTTAAGGTTCTTAATGCGATTAGTATAACTAAAGATTCCACTTGCGTTAAATACGAAGCAATGCAAATTTTCATCTGTGGATTGAACAAAATTAACCATTAAAAGTATGATCACTCATATCTTTATTTGCGAGGTAAATGACCGTTTTGCCATGTGTTTCATTATTATTGTTAGCCAATATATCATTTTCAATCACATAATATCGCAACGAAAATAAATTGCTTAAAAATGTTTTATATCGCTATTTTAAATATGTGAAATTCTGAATCTTTATCTGACAGACTTTTATGATCCGGAAAATTATTCTTGTCAATTGTCAATGGTTTCTCGTCGAGCAATTTATCTTTGTTTTCCATTTTGATAATTTTAATTAGAAACGTATCTAATAATATGATTAGATGCGTATGTGTGTATACTTCTTTCTTTACAAAAAATTACATCAACATTTACTGCTGTTAAATGTGAGTCCATCGGGACTTATGGCCAAATACAAACCTTTCTTTGAGGGGTACATCCATAATCGTTATATATACTGTATATTAATTATATCTATAATTATAATAGATTGATGAATTTTGTTCGCACACTTTTGATACGTATTTATATTATTTCATTTTACCGCAGTAAAAAAGAAGATTCGTATTTTAAACTTTATAGCTTTATCCATATTAAAGATATCCTATACGAGACATGTTCGTTTCAATCGCCGCTATTTTTTTCATAAATGTGGCTTAACTATATCTTACATCTCTTGTTGTGGCTTACATACAAACAAGCAATACCAATCTGCCACGATCTCCATAACGTTGTCCGGGGCGAAGCGAAAGATATCGAAAGTTGTACAGTACGGTGATACAAGTTAGTACGTACTATTGAAATTTGTTATAGTACGTACAGTGCAGGCAAAAAGTAATCAGAAAAATATTTTATTAATATTTTACTTATAAAAACTAATAATAGAAATAAAAAAAAATTATATATATATTATATATAATTTACCATGAGGAATATATTTTCCTTAATGCACAATAAGTAGTTTCTTAATAAATTTTTATGTTTACTTATCTAATAAAAATAACAACTTTTTTTTATTTTTTTTTTAGAATTTTTAAAAATTAAAATTTAATTAAATAATACTGTACGTTTTGATATTCTAATAAATTTCGTACATGTACGTTCGAAACTTTTTACTTTTTTGCACACGTTTCTTTTTCGTACATGTCTTTTTCGTACATATTTCTTTTCATATATGTTTAAATTTTTGTACAAATAATCCTTTATTTTATAAAAAAAGAACCATATACGAATTAAAAATGTCATTTTCATCATTTTTAGCTTTATTTAATAATTCTTTTATTTAATTTCTTTAATTTATTCGCAAACTCTTTTTTCTTATATTGCAATAATAATAATGTAAATACAAATTACAAATGATAAAAACTTTTTTGCGTTATGAACTTAAGCCTATATTAATTTTTAACTGTATATTTTTAATTCCGTTTTTTCCGCCTCCGCCATTTCTTTACTTGCGTTCTAAAATAATGCCATTTCTAGTCCGATGCTTGATATAGATTCATTTTTCTGTTAATTGATTTTGTGAAGGATATAATTATACTCTTTATTAATATTATAATAAAAATAAGTTCTTTTCATAAGGTCAATCTCATCTAGTGAGATACCAACCTTACTTCTTCCTTAGGTATAGATTAATTGATGGAATCATTCCTTGGTATTTTTTTCAACTCAAATTTCAAATTTCATCACTTCTATCATGTAATTTAATATTCATTACTTGTAATTCTGGAATTAGCGTCATGGTGTAGATTTTTTCTTTAATATTTATAGTAGCTAAATAAAATAATTTTTAGTATATTAAAATATATACATATATATATAATAATAAATATTTACATCTACGATTTGATGCAATTTGCTGTCTTTTATCTGATATATGGTATACCTGAATTGTTAGTTGTTTCTCTTCTCTATTAGTCAAAGCATGAGTCCGCTTCTACTGCATTAATGTTATATTCATATTTTCCTCAAATGTGACGAATGAAGTAAAAATTTTTGAACGTACAGAAACATTGAATTTTTTTTTCGAGTGTCCGTCCAAGTACGAAAAAATTGAGTATTTTTTTTTATTCGTCCGTCTAACTACTGTACTAATTTACTCAAAGCGAAGGACAATTAACTGTACGGTCATACACAATTTTGTGTCATCCCTGCATTTTTTTTCCTTCAACCACCTACGTCACCTTATATTTATACCCCTGCCTTTTCCTTTTTTGCTTTGTGTACCATCTGATAATACCATATTTAAATATTTATTTACTATATTATTGTTGTATTACATTAATCTCGCAATTTATAGCTACGGATTTAATAACAGTTTACCGTTCCTTAGTTAATATTTAGAATTTAAATACTGTACGTTGACTTATTTAATAAGTAAAAATTAGAGATGGTTAGAAAGATTTAAAAAAAGCTTGTCAATTTAAGACCATTCCATTTAAAACGTGTTTTTAGGGGAATAATAATCAGATCAGATTTTAATTTTTCATAGCAAAATAATTTTTTTTGCAATGTCTTTCCAATTTTGTGTAACCATTAACATGACGTAAAAATACAAAATAACGATAATTATACTGCTAAAAATTTTAATTAATATTGCTTATTGATAAATGATATAGTGAATTGTTTAGTTATTCTTTTGAATTAGATTGATTATTAGGTATTTTATTTTTTTAAAAAAATAGTATATGCATTTGTCATAAAGTTGTTTAATAAATTTAATTTTAGATGATCAAGAAAGCAAAATTATATTTGATAAACAAGTGAAAATCATTTTATCGCGTTAGTTAGTTGATTGATTAACTAAAAAAAATAAAAAAAAAATAAAAATAAGGTAAATTCCACTACTACCACCACTACTACACATCTCATAGCTCTCTGATCAACTTCAAACAAATATAAACTGACTAAGGATATTCTTTAGCATCAATATCAAGTTCATTTAAAGATAATGAGAAATTTATTATTAATAAAAATACAGTGATATGAAAATATAAATAATTAACCATTTTAAACATTGTTCAAGATTATTCTGATTAAAAAAAATTAATTAGTATTTTTTAGTTATATTTTATAGATCAATTTAATAGATCAAATCGTCTGTTTGTCTTTTAACTATTATATACTATAGTTAAAATACTTTTTGGATAATAAATATATTAAAATTTGCTTATAAAATAGAATGTTTATCCTATGTAGCCTATGTAGCAATGATGGCAAATAATCAGATCATTTGACTATTTTAAAATGACTTTTAAATAATAATTATTTAAGATAATTTATTATTTAAGTCATTTACAGTATTGTCTAAAATTAATCTAATATAAAATTAAAGTTAGTAAGAACTAGAATAAAAAAATTAAGAAAATTAAGATATTAAAATTATAAATATACATGATATATGATATATTTTCTTTAAATAACTAATCATTTGTTTTTAGTTAATTGAGATCATTTAGGTTAACTTATCATCATTGATATATAGTGTAAAATTATAATTAAATTTTATATTATATCTAATTGTATAGAATATTGAAAATATAAACAATATATTATTTATATTATAAAATTATTTATATCATTAATTAAAAATTATAAAGCTTTAACTTTCATTTATTTATAAATAATAAATGTAAAAACTTAAATATAATAATAGAAAATATTCATTAAAAGTACCAAAAAATAAAAATATCTTAATATATATTAGTTATCGAAAATCTTATAAGTAGCTTTAAAATAATTAAAAAGCTTAATGGACATTTATTATTACTTATAATTGATAATAAAATTTTTATACTAAAAATTATTATATTTTTCTAGCATGATATAATATTAGGTAAAATTCCAATAATTTACTAAAATAAAATTTGTTCAAATATTTAAAAAAAAAAAGAAAAAAAGAATAAATACAAATTAAAGATAAAATATAATAAATAAAATACTAAAATAAATTATTAAGCAAAATAAAATAATAAAGCTATTTTTAATTATAAATTTTTATATTATATATAAAATAATTAAATAATTTTATTTTATAGCTTATTAATATATTATATTATCTTATTAACCTTAAACTCGACCATTGAACTTAAGGTGATAATAGGGATAACAGGAAGTAATATGTATACTTTATTAAGATAAGTATAAAATAATTTTATTATGATTAATTAAATATAGATTAATCAATAAATATGTAAACATATAAAAGGAAAAATAAAGTTTATAGTTTAAAAAAATTTTTATTGTATAATTTGTATTTTTAACCTTAAATTCTAAATTCTTAAACTCTCTCATGTATTTTTAATCACACTTTCATCTATCCTATTTCTAAATCTAAACTATGAGAGTATGACCTAAATAATACTCATCTTATAACATTACTTAAATGATCTCAGAACATACTCATCAAACTCATACCTAAATTCACTTTCATACAAGCTATATTTATCTTATTTATATAAAAATATAATTATAAAAAAATATATATATATAATATTATTTTAAAATAAATAATTTATAAACAATAAAATAATTAATAAATAAAAATATATAATCTAAATATTATAAATAATAATACTATAAATATAAAAATAATAATAATAAATAAATAATATAAAAAATATAAAAAAAATGTTAAAAATGTTGATAATGTTAATATTTTACAAATATCAACATATATAAAAATATATTTAGTCTTTTTATTTAAAAGAAATAAAAGAAATGAAAGAATATTAAATTACTTATTTTAAAATTATGTATCTAAATTACTTTTAATTTGATAAAAATTTTAAACCTCTTATTTTATATATATTAATAGTTAATAAGATTTTAAATTTTAATATGATTTTATATTTTTTTTTACTAAGTTTACAAATTTTATTAAAATTAAAATTAAATTTTTTTATTTAACAATCTTATCTATTTTTTATAAAACTTCTTATAATAGTAAACTATTTATTTTGTCAAACTAATAAATAAATTTTATTTAAAATTATAAAATATAAAAAAATAATTATAAATTTCAAACAAATAAATTCTTATAGATTAATCTTAAAATTAAAATATAATTAAAATATATAAATAAATTAGTGAATATTAATATTAAATATTCATATATAAATAAATAGGAATATTTTAACTTAAAAAAATTAATAAATAATAATATTATTAAGTATAAAAAAAAATAAACAAATAATAATATTATTAAGTATAAAAAAAAATACTTAAAGATTAACATTAATATAAAGACTATTATATTTTTTATTTATAAATTTGATATTATTATTACTTTTTAAAATTTTGATAAGAAAATTTAAATAAAAGATGATTTAAAATTGCTAAGTTAAGTATATCAATATTTTGACAATATTTAGTATTAGAATTTGAAGTTCATTTTAATGAGGTTTATAGATCTTAAACTTTTAATTAATATAAAAATATTTAAAAATCTGAAGGTTTAAAATGTATATTTCATAAATTAAATCAATTCAAAAAAATATTTATAATATATTTTATATTTTTGTAAATTATTTATTAAAATTTTTAAAGATAATTGTAAATTATAATAAAATATAATAAAAAATAATGAAATTATTTCTTAAACACTTGATAAATTTTATAATTCTTTATAAAAAATACATCATTTGTATTTCTTATACTTTTTTTCATTATTACTTAGTTTATAAACATTATTATCAAAAAAATTAGAATTATTATATTTATCATATTTGTATGATAATATTTGAAGATTTTAAATAAAGAATGAACTAAAATAATTATGAATTTTATTATTTATATTTTTAACATGATTTAAGATTAGATTTTTAAAATTATCCTTCTTAAAAAAATATAAAACTATTCATTTTATAAAATTATATTCATCAAGAATTTATCTGTATTTTTTATCTTAATAAATATAATAGTATTGGGTATATCATTATATAATTTATTAAACTTATAGAAGTGAATTTATTCCTGCTTTTTCTTAATAATAGTTAAAATTTATATAGTAAATACAATCCTCTTTCATAAGCAAATTTACTTTTAAAATCAATTTTACCAATTCAACTTAAAATAAATAAAGCAATCTTTAAATTAATGATTCTATCAATCTTTCTATTTCTAGCCATTAAAATATAAATACTTAGTTTACTATTAGGATTCAAATATGATTTCAATAATTCTTTATTAAGTTGGAGATTTAAAAGCTTTTTATATAAATGAATATTTTCAAAGAAACCTTTAAAAGTTAAACTAAAAAATCTAATCAAAAATAAACAATATAATAAGATATTTTCCATTATTTTGAAATTATTATCTGACCAAATTGAAGAATTAAAAATAAGTATAGGATTTTTTTAAGATCTTATTTTAATATGTGTTTCTAAACTTCAATTTTATCCATTTGTAATTCTTCATTTTTGATAAATAAATTTAAAGATTTTTCAAAAAGTAATATGAAATCAAGTGATTTAAATATTTTTTTAGATATTTTAATCATTTTAATTATAAAATTTATACAAATCACTTGAAGTTTTAACAAAAAAATTAAATTGAAAACATTTTCTATAAGTAGGCTCAAAATGTTATTCAATATATTCAAATTTGTTTTCAATTAAATTATACATAAAAATTCAACTAGTTCTTGCAAAAGTAGCTCTTCAGCAACAATTAATACCTTTAAATTATATGAAGTATCTTGTTCATCTAATAAAATAATTTCACTATAAATATACTGTTAACTGTAAAATTAATATAATTTAAAGATTGTTAAAAATTGATCTTTAAATTTATAGTTAACTTAATTTACAAATATAACTAATTAGTTATATTTGACTAATAATCCATATTTATTATATTTATTATATTTGTTAACTATATTAAATCTGTTATATTCAATAGATTTATTATATTTATTATATTAGTCATATATATTATATTAGATATATTTATCATATTATATTACTATTAGTTTATTTTATATAAATAGCATATATTTTCCCTTGAGTTAAAGAAAACTCAAGATAATATTTTGTGAATAAACCAAGAGTTTAATATAGATATTTTTTATTTATTTACTATTAGCTTTTGTTACATCTTCATATAATCACAATTGTAATAAAGTTATTGTGATTAATTTAAAGGATTTAATTAAATCATTTAAGTTTTATTTCTATCTTACTAGTTAATAATACTTATATTATAAAAAATTTATAATTATTAAAAGATAATGAAAAAAATAAT